TCAATTCCAAAAGATGATAAAAAAAATTACTCTAAGTTAAAAAATAAAATTTAATTACTAATTAATCCAACTCTTAGAGTTATTAACCAAAATATTGTAACACATACACTGAGAATGGTGTTTTTCGAAGCCCCACTTCAACAAGGATGGTTGAACTAGACTGACATTGGAGTCAGACTATATAATTGCACTCTTTAAATTGAAAAGACCAGAACAGGTCACTGTCTTCTTAACTCTTAAGCACCCAAAAATCTTTCACCATGTTGCGAATCAGTAATGACATTTTCTTCCAGGAATTGAACAAACTAAGAGCAATACTGTTTTACAGAGGGGAAGAGGATGGTTCGAACCGATTAAAGAATGGGTGCTACACCGTTTTGAAACTTTAAAGCATTATGAGGAAATCTTTACAAGTAATATTTTACAGTTAAGAAGATTAAAAATATATATATATTTTATAATTTAAAACAATTTAAATTGTAAAACAACAAATTCAAAAGATTAACTAACAATATTTTATAAAATTTCATATTAAAACACTTCTATAGAAATTATAACCAATTTATTAGGCGTTGTCATATTGAATTCAAACTTGTTAGTTACTTTACCAAGTACGTATATTATCAAGCTTTGAGCACGGCTCACTTATTAAATGAATTTAAGTTGATTTGAGTTTAATATCGATCGACAAAAACTCATTTATACACTATCATTTTATGAGTTCAAAGAAATTTCAAATTTAAATATTTTTTCTCACTTTAAAAAAGTGTAATCATGGCGAAAATAAAGACATCAAATATTAATTGCCCTCTTTTAAAAAAATAAAAACAACAACATGATTTGAATATTTGAAAAAAAAAAAACTATAATAAAAAAATACTGCAAAGATAATATCATTGGTTCCTATAACATTATGTCTGCTGAGGCTGAGCTAGATCTGTTGAAGGAATCAAGCTTCCCATAAAAAATGTTAGGCTAGGAATGGACCATTTTAGTTAAAGGAACATTATTTATTTTTTTGTTTTCATATTGTCTTGGTGCCCCCTTGATTAGGGGATGAAAATAATGCTGCATGTTTGTAGATCTCCTACACTTGAAAGTTGAAATTTTGAATAGACAGGTCTAGCCCTATTATTGTACCGGTGTGGTGTCAGATCTCATCCTCAGGGCCTCCGACATGCCACAGGGCGAACCATAACATAGTACGAACCCAATAACAGCTTCAGCCCGGGCCCCTCCTACTACTAATTCCAGGGTCAGGCCTGGAAGGCCTAGTCCAGGGTTGAGTCTCTTAGGCAACAAACTCAGAAGGCCCATAGCCTTCAATGGGTAATGGCTCCAGCAGCAGAACGCCCTCTTAGGCCTCTAAACTTACCCCAAAGGAACAAGTGTGCCCTTGAACTAAAAACAATACAAATAAGATTTCAAACCCCTTAAATGATAGAAATTAGCACTCAAACCCCATGAAAAATGCAAATTAGCCCTCATAATTAATGATCCAATGCATATGACCTCAAGTTGTTTGGTATTTTTGTTCGCTTGCTCTTATTGTCTCACGTGATGCCAATGGGAATCAAAACACCTTTTAAACCACAAAAATCCTGCAACAATAATCCACATGGACTGTTTTGGCAAGATTTTTGTTACCGCAAGGGTTATTTAATCCACATCAATATCTATGCGAAGAAGTAGGACTAAGTAATTGGAAAAACAAACAACATGAGTAGGGGCAAAGTTAGGATTTGTTTAGGAGATTAGACTTTCAAGAACCTTCTAATAATTATATTTTTTTTTTATGAAAACATGTTAAAATTATAAAGACTTTACGTGATATTTCTAAGGTTTAAGTATTGATTTGAGAATCTCAAAAACTTACAAGGATTATAATGCATTTTCCCCATAATTGAAACAAGCAAGGACTACGATGCATTTTTCACCTTTTATGAAATATTAGG